GTCGCGACGCCCTCTACAAGCCGCCGACAGCACCCTAAGCGACCATGCCGATTGCGGAGCAAATCGAGAAGGTCAGAACCTACTGGTTGAGGCGCACGCTGGCAAAAATTAGAGCACGTGCCCTCGTTGTGGCATGCGGGTTGGTCCGCGCCTCTACAGCATCAGACTCGCGCGAAGAAAAAATCCGGACCTCCGACGTCGTGATGGTTGCCGATACGTGGGCCCTCTGGCTCCCGACCCCTTCTCCAGGGCCGGCTCAACGTCGGTGGCCGTGCCTCGATGGCAAGAGACCTCCAGAAGTCGCGTGTCCCCCCCAATGCCGAAGTCCTCCTCCTCCTCCGAGCCTTCTGGGCCCGTCTTGGGGCCGTCCTGAGGGTATCTTGGGTGGTCTCGGGGCGGTCGTGGGTGCCTCTTCGGCGCTGTTGGACCATTGGAAGCTCGAAAACGCGAGAAGCCAAAAACATTGAAAAAAACATTGAACATCATCATCAGTTATCACCACCGCCGTCATCATGATATTCATCATAAACATCATCATCATCATCATCATCATCATCATCATCATCATCATCATCATCATCATCATCATCATCATCATCATCATCACCATCATCATCATCGGTACCATCATCATCGTCATCATGTTGTTCGTCCCTCGCGAGTACGGCCTCCGGTGCCCCTTCAAACGAGAGCCCCCGAGCATGCTGACTGGCGCGGTGGCGGGTCTTGCCGCAGGCAGCTGGGTATGTACAAGAGAAGTCTTTCTATACGAAGCATAAGGCGCATCTCCCAGCCGCCGTTCCACCACTAGGCCGCTCATCATGACATCCTTTCCAAACTGATCTGGCGCACGCACGCGTTGGAGGGCGTCGCCTCTACCGTGTGGTCGTCCTCCCCAAGCAGCCCTCCTATTACCAGCCCGATGCGGCCGATGTGCTTGACATGGAAGTTGAGGTAGGCCACGCCTTGCGATGTGCATCCATGGACGACCTTGAGGTCCAACTGGTCGATCCTCATGCGGCTCGAGTTGCGGTTGCAGCCAGCCTCGGCCGCGCGGAACACGAAACCGTTGGGCTTCTGAGTCTCTGCCCACTTCCCCGTGATGTTCAACTCTTGGAAGTTTATGTCCTCGCATCGTCGGCCCAACTTCTGAGCCTCGGCCGAAACGCGAAGCAGCGTGGCATCAGCCGCGGCAGCCCTCGGAATGTAGAGCAAGACGTGCCTACCAGGCTACATCAGGTCGAATTTCTCCCCGTGGATGTTCTGCAAGTGAGGGTCCCCCTTCGCTGTAACGCCCGAAACCTGACTCCGGAGCGAGATAGTGGCGGTCGGGCAGTAGCCGGACGGAGATCCACCAATCGGCATCTCGCTGCTGCACAGCAAAAAATCACGACAGGTCTCCTCTCGATTCAGATTCCAATCATATGACGCTCCTGGAGGGGTGAGGTAGTACGGCCCATTACCAACCCTGCACTCGGGACCCAGATTGGGTAAGATGTTCACCCCCCCGCCCGAGCATGTGGACGTGAGGAGGCCGATATTATTCGCCTTCACGTGGCTAGGCCAACCTGGCATGATATTGTCCCAAAAGCAGTCGCAGAGGTGAGCCCTGAGATATCTGTTATTGAATTGCAACATCCCCTCCACCGCTTTCGAATCTTTGAAAGCCGAGCGCACGATGGTCGCGTGGGAACCGACGCTGGCATCCGTACAGTCGCGATGATTGTGGAAATTTATCAGGCAGACGCCACGTTCCGCTGTGAAGCCTTTGAAGGTGAGCTCCTCGATCCACAAATCGCCGCCATGAAATTTCTGGAACATTGCCGAAAAAGAATTGAGATTAAGGCCTGTGCCGTCGATCGTGAAGTGGTTGCCTTCGGAGGCCTTGATGACCAGAGTGTCGCTGCTGTACCAGTCCAACACAGTGTCCGTGCTCTGCACCGCGATGTCAGCGTCCACGATGATCGCTAGCGAGCCGTTCCGCGCGGCGATCGCCGCGTGCATCCCCGCGAATGTCGTCACCGTCACCTCGCTGTCGATAAGCGGAGGCGTGGCCAGCTTGCCGGAGTTCGTCGCCGAATTGACGGACTGCCAGCTCTGGATCTGCGAAAGGCTGGAGACCACGTGGAGCGTGGAGCACCCGCGGAGCAGGAGCATCAACACTGACGCCGTCGCCTGCATGATCATCATCGCGCGAGGGGCTAAAGGAAGCGGTAATTGTTCGGCACGCGGCTGAGTTCTAGGCGAGGCTTTGCGTCGAGCCTTGAGCTTGAGCCAAAATGCCTACGGAGGGGCCCTTACCGCGCCGTCTTGGGGCGGTCCTGGGGGCCTCTTGGGCCGACCGCTCTTCTTGGGGCGTCTTGGAAGCCTCCGGGCCAATCTCAGACAGGACCCCCCGTGGCCGCCTCTGGGCCACTCGGGCCGTCTTACGGGCATCTTGGGCTCTCTTGGGACCATCTTGGGCCGCCCTGAGGGCCACCTTGCCACGCTGGGAAATCTCAGAGCCCCAAATAGCGGGCCCGGACCCCAAGAACACCGTGTGGTCGATGCACCGGCCCTGGGCGACGACGACGACGACGGACGACGACGACGACGACGACGACGACGACGACGAAGACGACAACGACGACGACGGACGACGACGGACGACGACGACGACGACGACGACGACGACGGACGACGACGACGACGACGACGACGACGACGACGACGGACGACGACGGACGTGTGGGACATGCGAGACCTGTGGGGCGCGTGACACCTGCGGGACGTGCGACACCTGTGGGTCCTGCGACAACTGTGGAACTTGTGGTACCTGCGAGACACCTCTGGGACCTGTGGGACAACTGGGAAGGCTGAAATGGTGAGAGTCATACGGCCCTGCCACACGTTCGTGACCTGGGTGAGCTGGAATGGTGAAAATACAACAGCCCTGCCACACGTTCGCGTCCTGGGATGTCTGAAATTGTGAGAAACCTATGGCCCTGCCACACGTTCGTGACCTGGGACGGCTGGAACGCTGAGAATAGTTTTCCCTACGAGGGAACGTGGCCGTCCAGACAAAATATGCAGCTTGCATCGAGGCGGAAACACGATTCCTGAATATCCGCCACCGTGCCTCCTGGCACGTTGAGGCGTGCTAGAATGCCAAGTGCTGTCTGGTAGGGTTTCTGTAGTCTTCGAAGGGGCCCCCCCCGCCCTCCACTCGCACCCAACCGCATGCACCACCCCTTCTTCCCGAGGCTCTGTCGGCGCCAAGACACGTCCCTGGCGCTCTCCAAGGCGTCCCAAATCCCCAATATGGCCTCCAAAACGGACCTGGGAGGCCACCGAATCCGCCAAGATGGCCCAAAATGCCTCCAAGACGTCTCAAGATGCATCCAAGACGGCCTAAGATGGCCTCAGGATGGCCCAAAACGGCCCAAGAGGCTCCCAAGAGGCCTCCAAGACGGCCCAAGAAACCCCCAAGAGGTCATCCAGGAAGGCCCGAGGAAACCAAAATCATTGATCTCCCTTAAATGTTTCAAAGATTTTGGCATTTGCGCCTTTTCGGCTTTCCGACGGCCCAAGACGGCCCAAGAGGCACTCAAGGTCGCCCCAAGATTGCCCACGACGCCTCCAAGATGGCTCCAGGACGGCCCAAGGGGCCCCCATGACGGCCCCAAGAGGGCCCCAAGACGGCCTAAGAGGCCTCGAGGACGCCCAAGATGGCCTCCAAGACGGCCAAGATGGCCTCCAAAATGCCTCCAAGACGGCCAAAAATATCTCCAACCAAGACAACGAAGACGGCCCCGGTGTCGGTAGCACTCAACGGAACCACCGAAGTTTGAACACACGAAGTTCCAAACCAAATATGAGATTGAATAGATTGGCATCGATGAGATCCGCTCGTAGTTTATATCAGCTCAGGAGCCCCTACGCATCAGTTTGAGTCAAAATAGGCAGCGGGCGCGCACACACCTACACACAAGTATGTACCGCAAGCAAGCAAGCAACACACACACACACACGTGCATGCTAGCAATCATTACATCATGCTTAGCTACTACATTGGAACATATTCTGTGCCATTGACACAGGGGAAAGAAAAGAAGCCTTTAAGCCCCGTTTCCTTAGTATACTACATCACACACGCGCTGCCATACCTAAACCAACTCAAGAAATCAGAAAACCTGCACCGTGTCAACTACAGAGTCGGAAAATGTGCCCAGGTCTCCTGAATATCGTAGGTCCCGCATACGATGACCATCACCACGCCGTTCATGAACCGCTTGAGCTCGCCGATAGGGGAACCTGCCGTGAACTCGTCCGTCGTGGTCACCGTCGGCTCGTGAATCGACTTTATCTCCTGAAACCTCGGCGTGGCTAGATCTCGTCGATACGTACACTGTGACTGAGTGCTCGCCGACCACATTCGTTTGGGCTCCGGCACGTCTCGAGCTCTCAGCGTCATCTGCCGTAACTCGTTCTTCGTGTTA